CAAATATCCAGATAAAAATATACTGAAAATTAAAACTGATATCCATAATTATAAAAATATAATAGAAGAGAAATAAAGTCAGGTAACAGGATCAATCCAAGAACAAAGTCTAATTACCAGTAGCAGAAAGAACGGAGAAAACAAAGGAGGGGGAGAATTGGGTCACATTACTGTGAAATTTTAAATGGCAGGAAAAAGATCCTGTAAATTTCCAGAGAGAAAAAGCAGTCTACAAAGAAAAGATGAAAATAAAATTTAAGAACACTATCAGAATTACTAATAGCAACATTGGAAGCTAAAATACAACTGAACAACAACTTCCCAATTCTGGGGGTAAATAATTTTCAACCCAATGATTCTACTGAAGGTCAAAATGAAGACATTTTCAAATATAACATCTCAAAAACTTACACCCCATTCACCTTTTTCTTAGTACAGTGATGGAGGACATAGCCCACCAAAAATGATCAAAGTTGAGAGAGAAGACAATTTCTTTGGACAAAGGTGAAGGAAGTCCTGGGGTGACTGTGCACCTTGGCCTAGAAAACATCCACCCCAGATTACTGGAGCAGGATGAAGAGGCTTCAGAGTATCTCCAGGAAAAAAGCGGGGAGGTGGGAGATTATCATCAGATTATGTATTTGATCATGTAGAACAATCAGCAAGAGATATTGGTTGAAAACTAGCAAATGGTAAACAAAAAAGGCGTATGAGAAAGGGTAAGTAAAAGTATACACTTTGGTTCAGCAAGTAAAAATATTTACCTTGTTAAAATGTAAACAATGGTACCAATTTAGCTAAAAATTACAATAGTTATAAAAGGGGGGAAAGCTGAGTAAAAAGAAATGAACAAATATCTAAAACTAGTAAATCTAGAAATAACAGTACAAGCACATTATTTAAATAATGTAACTAAATATCAGAAACACTAAAAAAAAAGGAAAAGTGGTAGGAAATGTGATTAGGGGAATGCCTTTTTAACTTTAACTCTGCATCTATTGCTTTGATAAATTTTTTTTTTAATGCTCCTGCTTACTATTGTCAAGAATGTATTGGAACGAACAAGGATGGATAAAGGAGACTGTCTGGGATGTTGTTGAATCTAAGGATAGTGATGTGGTCTAGCTGAGAAGTGGCAGAGGTGGAAAGATGTGAAAAGATTCAAGATATATCTTGGGAGGCAAAATTAACACTGCTAGGTGACTGATAATATACAGATGAGGAGGCAATGCTAAGAATGACTTCCAAGTTTCTAGTATGTGTATCTGGAAAGGTGGTACATTTTGCTGCTATGGAAACTTCTAACTGACAGAGTAGGGGAGAAGGGAGCACAGAGATTTAGTAAGGAATACTATGAGCTCAGTTTTGAACATGTTCAATCTGAGTGTCTCTGAAAGAAATGGCATTATTATTATAAATAGTGTTTCACTGAGCAAATGATGGCTTCCAAAAAAAGGTATATGGCTAGGAAAAAATATCAAGGATAAATAAAAAATGGAGAGTCTGAACTAAGATGGAGTACAGGGACTTGATTTACCCTCCTGCATTACTGAACTGATAAGAAAGGAAAAGAAAGGTTTTCAGATATTAGACAAGCAGCACAAGAGAAGAGAGAGAGAAAAAAAAAAGACCTGGAAAAGCCCTTTGAGTGTACCAGCTTACAGCCCAGTAGCAGCGCAGTGGGGGGTGGGGGACGCAAACAGAGCCTTGTCTTACTGATTTGAGAGATCTGAGACAGGGTTCAGGGAGGCCAAGAAATAACTGGAACTTATGGGTCAGAGTACTGAAGAGAAGGGAGCTCCACGGAGAGCCGTGGAGATCTGCACTTAACTGCTGGAATCTGGCTGAATACTAACCTGTGCATTTGTGAGAGAAAGGCCTCCTTGCACACAGGTACAGAGAAGAATCCCCAGAAGGAAATCAGCCCTAGACTAAAGGCACTTCTAGACCTACCCTAACACAGCTTAAAAGCAGGATCCAACTGATTCCAACTAATCTGACCGTTGACCAGAAAAAATAGCAAACAATACTTAAAAAAGAAATCCAGCCACCAACAATGAAAAATGTAATAGAGTCCAGTATTCAATCAAAAATTACCAGGCATAAAAGAGGTGGGGAAATATGATCCCTTACCACAAAGGGGAAAAAAAGAAAAGTAAAAAATAGAAATAACTATGAGTGACAATATGGATGGACCTTGAGAATATTATGCTAAGAACACCTAAAAACCCTATGATTTCACTCAGTTGGGTGAATACCTAAGAACATAATTGCTGAATCATATGGTAAGACAATGTTTAACTCTGTAAGAAACTGCCAACTCTAACAGAATTTTTTAAAAAACTGGACATCACTACATGCAAAAACATGAATCTAGACCCAGACTTTTCCCTTTCACAAAAATTAACTCGAAATGTATTACAGGCTTAAATATAAAATGGAAAACTATAAAACCCCTAGATGATAGCATAGGAAAAAATCTAGATGGCCTTGGGGTTGGCAATGACTTTTTAAGATACAAGAAAAGCATAATCCAAAAAAAAAGTATCTGATAAGATGAAGCTCATTAAAATTAATTTCTGCTCTGTGAAAGAAGCTGTCAAAGGTAATAAAAAGACAAGCCATAGACTGGGAAAAAATATCTGCAAAAGACATATCTGATAAAGGACTGTTGCCCAAAATATATAAAGAACTTTTAAAATTCAACAATAAGACAACAAAAAACCTGATTAAAAAATAGGCCAAAGACCTTAACAGACCTCACAAAGGAAGATGTACAGAGAGCAAAGGAGCCTATGAAAAGATGCTCCACATCATATGTCATTAGGGAATTTCAAATTAAAATGAGACACCACCCCCCCATTTATTAAAATGGCCACAATGCAGACCACTATCAATACCAATTGATAATGGCCAATTGGTAACAATTTAGAGCAACAGGAACTCTTGTTCATTGCTGGTATAAATGCAAAATGGTACAACTTTGGAAGACAGTTTGGTAGTTTCCTACAAAACTAAACACATTCTTACCATCTGATCCAACAATTACATTCCTTAGTATTTACCCAAAGGAGCTGAAAATTCCTATTATGTCCACACAAAATCCTGCACATGGATGTTTACAGCAGCTGTATTTACACTTAAGTAACTTGGAAACAACCAAGATGTCCTTCAACAGGAGAATGTATAAACTGTGGTACATCTAGACAATGAAATATTTTTTAGTACCAGAAAGAATGAGCTGTTAAGCCATGAAAAGACATGGAGAAAACTTAAATGCCTATTATTAAATGAAAGTAACCAATCTGAAAAGGCTATAAACTCTATGATCCAACTGAAAGACATGTTGGAAAAGGCAAAACTACAGAAACAGTAAAGAAATTAGTGATGCCCAGGACTGGGGGTGGGCAAGAAGAATAGAGCATTACTAAACAGGCAATTCAAAATAGAAGAAACAGATTAGATGACCAGTAAAGATATAAAAACATACTTAAGTTTATAAACTAAAATGAAATTGTCTATTTTTTTGCTCAGAGAAGCAAACACTAAAAACTGACAACTCAAGTGTTAGTGATGATTTGGAATGAGGGGCTTTTATACATTGAGGGTTGGAATGTAAATTGGTACAACCACTTGGGAGAGCAATTTGACAGACTGTGAAATAAATTATGTATCCACTTAAAACAATTCCACTTCTCACTTAAACACTCAAGAGAAGTTCCTGCACCCACGTTCAACAGAAGTAACACAGCAATGGAAGTAACATTATTTTGGGGTATATAATCATACATACATATGAATATATGTGTGTGTGTTGATGTGTTTTTAAAAGTACTGGGAGGATATACACTAAATTAATGACAGTTGCTTTTTGAAGAAAATTAAGAGAATGTAACTGAAGTACTTCACCTATATTATTGACTTACCAGTTTGACAAAATGATATCAAATATTAAAAATTACCTGAAATTTTCTGTATTTAAATTTTTCCTTAAAATTCTGTTTAACATGAGAACCATTATTATTTCAGAGTCATTAGATCAAAATAGTTGTGTCAATATACCTGTATTTCCCTCAATCTAGAAACTTTCAAACTTTTTCATGTCATGGCATACATAAATTGTCTAGTACAATTCTGTGGCACACCAAAAATATATTTTTTGCTAATCTGACCCCCCGCCCCAAAAAGTAGGTAGAATTAGGTTTAGCTTTGATTCATTCACCTGGACAACTACTATTGTGTTGTCATTTTTTTATTTGACAATCTAAGGGAAAAGAGGTCAGTATCCCTGACTGAATAGTGAGGCACTGCATGTTTTAAAAGTTCTTGCAGTGCATCGGATGAAAATTGCTGCCCTAATCTACAGCACAGTAGAGTTATATACTAGTGGTAAAGACAACAGTTCACATTTTCTCTGACGGTTGAATACTTCCTTCCAGTCACATGACATAACTGAATCAGCCAAAATTAATCCACATCTCATTTTCAGAGAGCATGGATAGAATCGCTGCAAGAGTGTTCAAATTGTAGACTGGTTAAGGAAGACAACACTCATGGTCATTTCCTTAGAAGCTGTGTCAGGCCTTTAATGAAGGAAGTGACATAATCTTCCTGAATCACTAAAATTCAGTAGTGACTTATGTGAAGGAAACACTGCAAAAACTACATCCCTCTGAAAATAATACCTGTTTCCTTCTTGTTCTCTTCTCCTTCCCATAAAAATATGTCATCAGAATGAAGTATTATACAACAATAAATACCTGATATACTTCTAGTAAGGAAAGAATCTCTACTAGATTCCTCCTGTTCCACCTTAACCCAATACTTCTTACCTTAAAGTAATATAAAAAATTTAAGAACAAAGTAAAAATTTCAAATATACACATGAACACACAGAGCTTACCCTAAGCCCTATTTCTTGAGATAAATGTCAGTGATCAGTCATATTATACATACATCATATAACTCATACTTTCATGAAGAATTTATGTAATACTTACTAAAAGTCTTACAGATGTCAGAAACAGCTTTGAAGACTCTATCAGAAAAATTCACTTTCACTTTCACATACTTCATGTTGGGAAGTTGCAGGCGAAGCAGTTTGTGCTGGGGGGTGAACTGAAGCTTAGCATCTGCCTGAATGCCGTACTTATCCAAGGTCCAATGAGTCTTAAGAAGCCAAGTTCTCTTCTTTTCCCACCAGAGAGCGTGGTCAGACCAATCTTTTTTTACATCTATTTAAAAAAATGAACAAATAAAACACTTAAAAATCATCAAGACTACACTGAGAGAAATTAAAAGCAGAAAACTAAATAATTGTTATACAAACAATTAAATACTAAGTGCCTGTTATGTGATAGGTACAAAAGAAATACTGAAAAGCCAAGGAAACACCCTCCCGCCCTGGAAGGTTACAAAGTAGCTAAGGCAAAATACACAAGAACACTAATAATGCCTGAATTAAGTACAATGTGGGAACCCATGGGTGACAGAGTATTCTCTGCAGTCATCTGAAGAACAAAGAGAAGCCTGGGGGCAGAAATCTAAAGGATAAATAATGAAGTGGACAACATTCTGATGATAAAGTAGTTAAGAAGGCTGAGATTTGTGAGGCTACAGAAGCATGTTGAGGTGAGTAAGGAGGGGTGAAAAGATACGGCACCAGAGCAAACAAAAACCAACAGCTTAAGTGAAATAGACCAAGGGGGAAAAACACCCATGAGTAACACTATAACCTAAGAGAAAAAAACAAAAAAACAAGAAACACCTACATCCCACCCTACACAAGGTCCCAAATACACACAGCTGTTTGCATGGAAAAAAACATGCAGGGGACCTGCAAGAAGCAACCAATCAATGTTTCTCTCCCACATCGATGTTTCTCTCCCACATCAATGTTTCTCTCCCTCTCTTCTCCTTTCTAAAAATAAATTAAAATAAAATCTTAAAAAAAAAAAAAAGCATAGATAGCCCAGGACAGGAAAAGACACAGTATTTTTCCGACCATAAGACACACCTAGGTTTCAGAATAGGGAAAATTTGTTTGAAGCAAAAAACATGGTAAAATATTTAATAACATAAATAATATTTCACCAATGTAAATGTAAACAGAACTCAACAGCAGCATTAACAACCATTATTACACCCAAATGGGGGAGGGGTGCATCTTATAGTTTGAAAAATACAGTAACTCTTGCAAATGGCAGTAACCACTACAATTAGGCAAAGCTGAACTGAATTAACAGTAGGTAGGTATGAAATACTTTCTTCCCAACACTTTGGTCCAGTCACTTCTGTGGTACTCGGGTACTGATTCAACCATTAAGGAAGCGACATCACATCACATGTACTTCCAGTAGGGGCAGAAGGGAGGGAAAAAGCTGTGCTCTGTGATGATGATGATGATGATGATGATGATGACGATGATGATGATGATGATGATGATGATAAGAAGTAGTAGTAGTGTTAGCAGTAGCAGTAGTAGAAGGAGGAGTAGTAGTAGTAGTTGGTAAACACTGAGTTAAATCATTTGGGTTCCCCCAAAAGGCAAACCTGAGATAAGAACTTCGGTGCAAAGAGCTTATCTGGGGGACAGGAGAACCAGGAAGCACACTTGAGGGGATTAGAAAAAGTGAGTCATGGAAAGAAAGTTCTATTAAGGGTTTATTAACAGCTGTGGATACTGGAATTCACTCCTGCTAGAGACCCTTTGAATAATCGTGTAGAACATGCCTTAGAATTGTCCCAGTGAGGAAAGAGAAAGCCAGGGTATCTATCCATTTCCTTGGTTGAGGGTTGCTCCCAGGGCCATTAAATTACCAGCACTTCCTGCCATGCATGGGGCTGACCACCAACACTCAGGCAGAGCAAACTAAGAGACCCTAGTGCTTAAGCAGAGAAGACCTCAGGATCTGCACACTACAGCAGCCAGTGAACTGTGGTAGGGGAGAGGGCCTCAATAATACGTTATAAACTTGAAAGAAATGTTTATTCAGACAGACAAAACTGTACTGTTTTACAGTGGTATCAGGACAAAAAGCAATACTGTAAATCCATAATAATGGCAAGTCTCAAATGTGGCCCAGCAGGAAGGTGCTAAAACACAAAGGCAAAGACACCAACAAAAGCTGAGTAAGCTCTTTGGAATAAGTTACAGGTAAACTTCCTGAAGAGGTCATTTGTCACCAACACCAAAAGTTTAAAGTTTAAAAACAGCTTCTACAATGTGGAGTGTGAAAAGGACTACTGGTCAAGAACTGGACTTCTCAAGTCAAAATTACATAAGGATGCCATTACTATACATGGCCCCAGGGTCAAATCCTGCCTTCTGCCTGATTTTGTGTGGCCCACCAGCTAAGAATGGTTTTTATAACTGGATTCTGATGCTATCTCCTGGTAGCGTCTACCTGATATCTACCAGGAAATAGGATCAGAATCCACAGGTTAAGCGTTCAGTCCTACAAGACTGCCTCGTCCCTTCCCCTGCCAAACACACCTCAAAACACTGGATGTAAGCCCAGGTTACCTGTACTTCTGACCTACTAATTACAGGTTGGAGGTAGCAATGACCCACTCCAACTCAAAATGCCAACTGCCAAGTTCAGGTTGTCACCTGTACTTCTGAACCACTGGTTATAAGAGGTTCCCATCACCCTCTCCTTGGGCTTGATTAATTGTTAGAATGCCTCATAGTACTCAGAGAAACACAGTAAATACGACATCACTGGCTTATTGTAAAAGGATATAACTAAGGAATAGCCAGATGGAAGAGATGCATAGGGCATGGTATGTATGTGGGAAGAGGTACAGAGCTTCCATGCCCTCCACAGGCATGCCCCTCTCCTTTCATTTCCACGTGTCCAGCAACCTGAAGTTTTCCAAACCCATCCTTTTGACTTAAACACTTTATTACATAGTCATGATTGATTAAATCTATTTCCAGCCCCTCACCCCTCCTGGAGATCAGGGGGTAGTATCAAAAGTTCCAACCTTCACTTTCTCACTTACATAAATGTCTAATCAAGACTTCCAGCCAAGAGAGAGGTGTAGGTAGATACACTTTGCTTCCTTGAACAACCAAAAGGAGGACAACAACAAATTAAAAAACAAAAAAACAAGAACTGCCAGAAAATCGAACTGTATAAAAATCCAACAACCAAGGAGTTAAAGAAGAAACATTCAGCCAGACTGGTAGGAGGGGTGGAGGTGGGCAGCAAGGGCAGAGAGGGCGTGTGGCAAAGCAGCAGCTGGAGGACTGGGTGGGTGAGGCGGCTGGCTGGCAGGCTGGGTGGTCCCACATTCACATGTGGATAAACTGGGAGGAACAACTGGGGAGCCAGCCAGACCTCATAACCCAGGGTTCCAGTGGCGGGGGGGCGGGCCAGGCAAAGCTTCAAAACCTCTGGCTGTAAGAACCTGTGGAGTTGCAGCCGCGGGAGAAATTCTCAGGATCCTAGAACATACACAAATCCACCCACCCAGGAATCAGCACCAGGAGAGCCCAATTTGCTTCTGAGTAACGGGGGAAGTAACTGAAAGCCAGCCCAGAGCCAAACAAGTGGCATTGTTCCCTCTCGGACTCCTCCCCCATATACAGCACCATTATGCAGCAACATGGGTTGCCTCACCCTGGCGAATACCTAAGGCTCCACCTCTTACAACATTACAGACATGCCAAGACAAAGAAATCTTGCCCAAATGAAATAACAGATCAAAGGCCCAAAAACAGAACTAAGTGATGAAGAGATAGCCAACCTATCAGATGTAGAGTTTAAAACACTGGGAATCAGGATGCTCACAGAAATGATTATTATGGCTGCAAAATAGAGGACAAAGTGAAATAAAGAAAAATATACAGGAAACCAACAGTTGAAAAGAAGGAAATAAGGACTCAAATCAACAGCTTGAAGCAGAAAGAAAAAATAATTCAAATAGAACAGAATGAAGAAACAAGAATTCAAACAAATGAGGAGAAGCTTAGGAACCTCCAGGACAACTTTAAATGTTCCAACAACTGAATCATAGGAGTGCCAGAAGAAGTGGAGAGCAAGCAGTTGAAAACTTATTTGAAAAAACAGTGAAGGAGAACTTCCCTAACCTGGCAAAGGAAACAGACTTCCAGGAAGCTCAGAGAGTCCCAAAAAAGTTGGACCCAAGGAAGTACACACTAAGGCACATCATAATTACATTACCCAAGATTAAAATTAAGGAGAGAATCCTAGAAGCAACAAGAGAAAAGGAGGCAGTTACCTACAAAGGAGTTCCCATAGCTCTGGCTGATGTGGCTCAACTGATTGAGTCACCAGTTCGATTCCCAGTCAGCATCCCAGGGGTGCCTGGGTTGCTGGCCAGGACCCCAGTGTGGGGAGCGTGAGAGGCAACACACATTGATGTTTCTCTCCCTCTCTTTCTCCCCAATTCCCCTGTCTCTAGAAGTAAATAAACAAAAGCGTAAAAAAAAAAAAAAAAAAAAGAAAGAAAACAAAAAGAAGACGACTACCAGCAGATTTCTCAAACCTTACAGGTAAGAAGGGGCTGGAAAGAAGTATTCCAAGTCATAAAAGGCAAGGACCTATATCCAAGATTACTCTATCCAGCAAAGCTGCTATTTAGAATGGAAGGGCAGATAAAGTGCTTCCCAGATAAGGCCAAGTTAAAGAAGTTCATCATCACCAAGTCCTTATTATATGAAACGTTAAAGGGACTTATCTAAGAAAAGAAGATAAAAAAGACAAACAATAAAATGACAACAAACTCACAACTATTAACAACTGAACCTAAAACAAAAACAAACAACTAGAACAGGAACAGAATCACAGAAATGGAGATCACATGGAGGGTTATCAGCAGGGAGGAGGAAGTGGAGGAATGGGGAAGAAGTTACAGGGAATACGAAGCATAAATGATAGGTATAAAATAGAAGGAGGTTAAGAACAGTATAGGAAATATAGAAGCTAAAGAACTACGTTCTACCCAGGGACAAAACTAAGGGCAGGGGGAATGCTGGTGGGAGCGGGGTGCAGGGTGGAAGGGAATGAAAGGGAGAAAAAAACGGGGCAACTGTAATAGCATAATCAATAAAATATACCTAAAAAATGTCTAATCACTATGATGTACACCTGAAACTAATATAATATTGTATGTCAACTATAAGTGAAACTAAAATTCCAACCTTCTACATGGCTGGTTCTCCACACAGCCAGCCACCATCCACAGGTGCTTTCCCAAGGTCACT